AAGGTAACGTTAGGTTGAAACAAGGATATAGACGTACGGCGGTGATCAGCCAACTGTGCAGGAGTATAAATTTCTACCAGTGCTACATTTCAAGCCTGCTAGACGTTCGATTTGGCCAGTGTTCCTTTAAGCAAAATGCAGAACGATACACCGGAAGCTTATAAAAGTGCTAGACTAATAAACAATATCGACTAGAATATAAAAGATTTGTTGGAAAAAAAATATTTTGTATAATAAAGCGTTTCCTTTCAATTGCATCGGAATTTTAAGAATACGTAGTCGATAAGACTGTATATAATGCCGATTTCGTTTAAGGAACGGATTTGCATGAGGGCGGAAAAGACCGGATCGAACGGTTATTTTCGCCAATAGGCGAACAACGACAGGCAGCAGCAACGGGTGCGTGTGATAGCTCATATTTTATCGCAAATGCGACAGATCGTCGATACTGATTTTCAGTGAGTGAAAAAAGAAATGAAATTAACGACACCGACACGTCGTCATAAATAACAGGATTATAAATAAAGGAAAATGAAGTATGATGATAAATAATGCTCGACAGTGTAAATAAAAAGCGACACGATGCGACCTGTTACATGAAAAATTGTGGCACGTTCTTTTCTTTCCCATTTTCATCCGATCTTGTAAATAACGATTCGATCGCGTGATTTTATAAACTGCCAAGCGAGCGAAGCAAACGGCCCGTTCGGAACGCGGCGCGACGACGACGACGACGCGACGGTGCGGTGGTTGGTCACTCGTATTTTCCACGCGATTGATGGAAACCTCTTTTACGATTTTATATTTCTTGAAAGCAGCCGTATGTACAAGTTTTTCAATAAAGCTCCCCGGTGAGTCTCTCAAAACCACTTTTCCACCTCACTAACATATCACACTGATCTCGTTTCTTCGGAGTGCCATACTTTTGATGCAATCAGAGATACTCTTCAAGATTGCGATTCTTACATGATTGCACACCGAGGAGACAGTTCTGGATGGATTGAAACGGGAACTAATTTCACCAAGTGAAACACGTTTACTAGCCGTGATTTTTTAAGATAAATTTGATTTGTAGGAAATCGAATGAACCGGAAGAATTGTATATAATTTCTAAAATTTGCGTGTACAAAGCGAGGTAACGAAATGTTTTAATTGATTCGTTCAGTTTTATTCTTCGAATTTAGAATTCTACTATTAAGAATAAAATTAAAATAATAAAATTCGTTGAATCACTATTCTTTATCATATTGCGAAATTACTATTAATTAATACCCGTATGATCAATTATTATAGAGAAAAAAAATTAATGATATAAATATGAGCTTAATATTGAAATAAACAGTGCATGTGAAACATTGGATAAAATAGAAATTCATATTGCAGCTTTTGATTAAATTCCATTTATCGTCATTTGCAAAAACATGGATAAAATTATAGAATGCAGTAATTAAAAAATTTTTCCGAACCGAAAAACGGTTTATTTCATTACACCTTTCGTCGAATGGAATGCCGGTCTTTTTACGCTTGCATGTATGATTGCGGGAGAACCCGAGCCAAACAGGGAAAGATTAGAACACGTGCTTTAAACGTGTTGAACAAAAGAAATATCCGGAAAGCGGCATCCTAGCGGGAGACACTAAATTATGGACCGTAAAACCCGGCAAGAATGAAAACAAGATGAATAGGAACGGCGGACATATGGTAGGGAATCGGTACTCGCAGCGTGCGCGCGCGCGCGCGCGTACCATGCAAATACCGGCCGCTTACTCGCCCGGTTTCTAAGGCACAGAACGAGACTTTCAATTCGGTCTTCATTCATCAAACCTTCGAGCCACGAGTGGAGAACTTATAGCTTCTCTATTCCGATGCATCGATCAAGTATTCAGTCCAACAAGCTAGAATCAACGCTCGGTGCTGCGAGGCGGGAGAAAAATTGCGTTGCAGAAAGTCGCATCTTCCTTCCTTGTACCGCAATACCTCACGCGGAACCGGCGAATCCGATGAAACGTATACTAGGTATCTGTACATGTAGGTATATCTACGAGGAGAGGGTTACCGAGAGAACTCCGTTAGAGCTGCAAGACATGCGGCTCTATCGATCACTGATTATTTCTAAAAGGCTCTCCGGGGGATTCGGCGAGCGGATGCCAAATGGTCGTACTTTTACAGGAAACTTCACCGGCAACGAAAATTTCTAAACGATCCCTCGCGCCTCGAAACGGCCGCTTAACTTCCGCGTAATTTAATCGCCGGATTTCATCGACAACTTTTCCCACGCGTTCATCGCAATATGATCCTTACAAACTTGTGAATTCGATGTTCATGAACGAGGTTAAAAAAAGGTAAGTGAAATATTTTTTATACCTACAAGCACTCAGTAATAGATATAATCTAATGTTGCAAAAAGAGCATCGTGTATGATTTTATATGGAAAAGGAAATTAGCAAACATTTTTCCCTTCAGTTCGTTTAAAAAATCATTAAATCACAAGAAAAATGAAATGTTTTAAAACATGTCCAATGGTACAAACGTACATCGAGATATTTTATTCTTACGTATAAGACAAATTCATGTTGTTCATATTATATTGAACGTACATTACTTGCAAGTCCGTAATAAAATGGTGAGACGTTCCACGTTCAAGGGGAAAAAATTGTAAATCGTCCGCAATTACACTAGTTTCCGGGCTAAAGCCAGATTTCCCTGACGACTAATTTTTCTCGACGTAAGCGGAACAATTTATCTTGGGCTCGGTGAAACAAAAAAAGTCGCCGCTTCCATCTCGTGAAATATTCTCCGATTTTTGCGGCGTGTTTTATCAACGCGAAACAGACGCTCCATTATGCGCGGCGGACGCGAAAGCATCGGTACGCGGTCAAGTCGCGAAATACAACCGGCAGCGTGCGGTGTGCATGAACTGCGGGAGCGTGGGCGGAACACGGGAATGGGAAAAACAACGATCGAATCGCGCGAACTAGGCGCAGAATCAGCTGATTTCAGCTTCCCTCCTCGCCGGAGCCTCTATACCACCTCCGTGATTCAGATACACGAGTAGCGACTTGAACGTGCCACTCCTGTTGCTATTTCTCTTCCTGTTCCGCGCACTTGATCCATTTTTTTCACAAGCGCCAAGCACACGGTGTGCCTTTAATATACGAGGTACCCGCAGTACTCTTGCACATTTGTAGAGAGAGAATATAATTCCATTATATTCCGACCGAAACGAAGATCGAGATTGAAATTTACTTTCATTGATCAGAAAACATTTCACATTTTACGTAATCAATGAATTGATGGATACGATATATGAAACGCGCTAATTAATTAGTTTCAGATCTATATGAGAGGATTCGTGAGACCAAAAATAATTTTACGATTCTGGTGATCCAATTGAATTATTTTTCTCGTTTGGAAATTCACTGACAGTTTCGTGATCAATGTATATTGGAATAAGAATATTAATTTTACAGTAACACAAATTTTCAATTGAATTCCATTAAGAATCGAGGCTAATGTAACTGACGATTCAAAGGAGAGCACCTACTGAAACGAAGGCTCAAGTGCTTTATGCTCTATAACTCTATGGAAACGTTCAGAACGGGTGCGGCCATTGTTACGACGTTAATAAACATAGATAAATATATTCCGGAAGGTGGAACGTCTCGAAATCTCGGCGACTATACCACCGTAGTTATTCATACATAAATTAGAAGCGTGAAATGAATACCGAGGGTGTGTTTAATTAAATTTGCGTCATGATGTACGTGCCAGTTATTACAAACCGCTCCCGCGGGAGCCTTCCCCCGAGTGAAATTACGTGTTTATAAGTTTTTCCTCTGTTAATATCTCCTTAGCAGTGCCATCCGAAAGCACGTTAACTTATTCTTACGTACATTTAAACAAAGTGAGAGAAAAAGGATAAAAGCGAGAACAAATAGATGAATCCGTCGGCTTTAACGTTACCACGCGCTAATTGCGTTCAAATCTCGAACGCTTGATTGAATAAATTCACTTCTTCAATTTATTTCCCCTTTCAATATAAAAATCATAAGCAATTATAATAACGCTGTTTAAGAAAAGAATATAAAACGTACCTCAGTTTTATAATAATATGATTTTATCTGAGAGAGACTAACAGATTTAAATTCAAAATAAAAAAATGTTAGCAGCAATCTACCGCGTTGAAGAAATCTTGTCAGCTAATACAATGACCCTTTTTGTATAAAGGCAATCAGAGTTTTAATCCAATCGGTTCGACGAAGGTTAGTTGCGAATTTTTCGCGAATTAATTCGACCAGCTTATTACTTTCAAGGTTTGAATGTAATAAGAGGACTTTCTACTTTGTAATCGCGTAGCACCCACCCACACCCCCGCCGTGGTCTCCTGCCAAAAGTAGCATCCGCGAGTTTCTCACGGAGCTGTGTGTACAGAAAATATAATTTTCTCGATAAATTCAAGTTATATAAGGCAATCCCCATGAGAGTCGCCCGGCACAAAAAGTACTAACGGCCACTGCTTTGAAAGTACAAAGTTTTAACTTTATCTCGAGCTGCCTACCGGAGATTGCAAATATATGTCGTCTCGTTTCCGAGAATCTCGTTAACGCGATATTTTCCGGAATTTCATTTAAACGATCTTCGAGACGGCACGGTATTAACCAAGGATCAACTCTCCTTTTGGGGAGCCGATTTACTACGACTGAAATTGTCCACTGTATTAAGAGTTTACGCGAACTAATACAGTGTCCTCGAAATTGTACTAAACTTAGGAAGCCAAAGTAGATTCTAACATAAATTGAAATGTTTTCCGAAGTAAAGATATACATACTATCATAAAACTGAGAGAACGAAATGTAGCAGCAAATAAATACTGTTGGAAACATTCGAATTAAAATCTTATATGAAACGTATAAAAATAAATACTACAATGTGCAACCGACGGATTCCAGTATTCGCATAGCAAAAAGAAAACCAACACCGAACCCAAAAATTGTACTCACCACCCAAGTCTGCGAAGAAGATTTCTCGAAGTACCAAGAACTCCTCCTCTGGTGCAATGTCAACTCTTCCGAAACTGTCGTTCTCAGGCCAGACATCTCTGTAAAACAATCGTTAATATCAAATTATCGGAACTCTAGTGCAGCTTACGACAGCAGCATTCTACCGACTATCGCAACCCTCGACATGTTACAAGAACGTGTATCCGACAATGAGATTATAATGATTAAACAAAGCGAGACACTTAATAACATGTTTCATTATCTTGAGTAGCATGCGCGGCAGAGAAAACGGGAGACGACAAAGAAGCGCAAGAATGGAAAACAGGGCGTGAGAGAGACAGAGGGTGGAGGAGGGGTCCGAGTGGCAATCTCAATGGGTCTCGTAGAAGGCTCCCTTGAGCACCGAGAGCCTCACCGCGATCTACGCCAACATCCGGCTGCTTGCGTCAAGTGTTCACGCCCGGCCCTCCATTCTTCCATCCACCTTCGGCCACCGTCACCGTCGTCGGTGGAGGTAAGTGCATGTATCACCTTCGTGAAGTGGATGGTGTTCTAGAGACGGTAGCAGGCGGAGTCAGCTCTCCTATGGAGAGCACGGATAACAGAGAAAAAAAGCGACACGAAGAAGAAAGATTTCTGAGAAAGCCAGCTTGCCAGCACGGAACGCTCAAATTTCATTGAATTTATTCCGTAGAGCTTGTCATCGGAGGATGCAAATCCTAATTTATACGAGGCGGCAAAGAAACAGATATGCAAATGTTTGCCCGCTGTTTGCAGTTAATGCGAACAGATTCGAAGACAGAAAGGCGACAAAAAACTCCGACCCCTCGAAGTTAGTCCCATTTTTTTTTTTGACATGTAATGAAAGAAGTAATTCTTTCGTGTCGAATAACGTCGGTTCGCGACGCGAGATTATGGAAATTGAAGTTCTGAAGAGAACACTTGACTACTAAATTCTCAGAGCAAAACGCGGGTATTATATAAAGAAGAAATTTATTGAAAGACGCTGTGCTATATTTGAACATTCGGTAAACAGAGCAGAGAAAATCGTTGCTGGTTCGCGCGTAGCTTGCCGATAAAGGCTTTTCGCGATTCCATAAGAACCGGAAAGGACCGGGCCATTTCACAAAAGTTCTATTCCCTGTGAGAATCCGAAAGCATTGAGGAAAGGAGAAAGTCGGTGCAGGTACGTGACCAGAGGACAAAGCTAAAAATCACGACTTCGCCTTGACGGAGCACTCATGAAAAAGGGTATAGTTAATGGCGAAAGATTCCTAACCCGGTGCTAGGCGGTGGCTGACTTTAAAAGGAACTCCTCGCCTGCCTAGAATTTTCATTAAAAATCTGCAGTACGTAGAAATATTCCGACAGGCCGAGGTTTTTCCAAAGAGAACGTCAGAAATAGCGAACGTGATTGGAAATCGATTCCGAAATCTTTCACAATACCTTTACGCTATTCCAAATATAATTTGTTGCAGCCCTATGATAAAAAATGAACTTTTGTCTAACAATAAGAACATACTGCAGCGAAGCAGAAATTCACTGTTCATTTTTACGGAAACAGACATTTAATCCGTATACAGAGCATGTCAAGCCGATGGTCGGGAGAGTCTGGCTACTTTCGGAAGTACAAAATCCCTGACTTAGGAGAGGGAGAATCCAATAAGCGGGTGGGAAAAGGGTGAAGGCACAGAGAGAAGGGAAGGGCGCCAAAGCAGGCAAAGGGGAAGGGTCCGTGCTGTCCCCAGGGCAGAAGAAGTGGCTCGTACGCTGCTGGTGGCTGTCTGAATAGAAATCCAGTACCATACAATCTCCATTATCCCTCGATTTGAAGTCCCACGACAATGGAATCTCTCAGACGTGCCTCAACCAACTCTCTCCCAATCCTGTCGTCGGCCGAACCGGCTCCTTTTGCCAGACGAACGGAACGAATAATTTCGACGCTCGCCCTTGACACTCGAAAAACACCCAAGTTCAACCTCATCTTTTAGTCGGAAGTCGGAACATCACAACTTATCGAGCAATGAATTAATCTCACTCAAACATGATTTATATGCCAATTATAATATGATTTAATTGCGATTTGAGGTATTTTCGATGTGAGGAATAGATAGAAGACAGAAAAGAAAATAAAAATATTCAATATTGATTATTAACGAACTTAACTTCCTACAAGATGTCGAGATGCATATCGATTTTCCCCTTTCTTTAATTAAAAGAGTCAATCCGGAAATTAAAAAAAATACGACTTCTATATAGTATGCAAATAAGACCATCGATTATCTGCTTCGCCCTCTTCCTTTAACACAAAAAAAGGTAAAAACCGCGTCTCTTTTCCTTAATTATTCTTCAACTTTGAGTGGCCCATGCTTGTGTGAACAAAGGTCAGCACACTTCGCTGATACCGCTGTAGAAAGTATCGATAGGAAAATTAGACGTTTTGAATCAAAGATAAAAGTATTTGCTAGGCAAACGAAACGCGATCACTAAAAAACTAAAAAACCCTGAAGCATAAGCTTTGCCCAGCACTATGTATGGAATACAAGAAAAGGAAATTCAAGGCATTACATTGTTTACCGCAATACCACTGGATTATCATAAATGTGTTATTAATATCTCCCTTTACGAGCCTACGTTTATACACAGTCAACAGTCTGCTGCTTCCTTTTATCCCGTTGTATGCACAAGGTCGGCACGAACCAGAAACTTCCATTGTGTGTACGGCTATGCCAAAGCTTACCCCATAAAATGGACGGCGGAATATTACGAACAATCTCCTAAAGTACCCCCTGGAAGTACTGCGTTGATGATACCGCCTAAAGAAAAATCTGTAGGAAGGGCTATAATTCCTTGGCTTTACCAAAAAGTCACTGGCTTGGCGATGAAGCAGTCTTTTTGTTTCAGCAATTTCACTCCGCTACCTCCTGAGAAAACTGTTAAATACTAAACGAAAGTAAAGAAATAAACGCATATATATATGTGTTTATTTCTCTTCTGAACTTCCTCCTATTTGAGTAACAGAACAGGATCATGCAGATACGATCATTTCGAAATCTCACAGCGTAGGAAATAAAAGGAGAAGTAGAAAGACTCGAGATTGTTTTTCAATAAATAAGTCGATCGCATATACTGAATACAAAATCAGTTTCTCCATAAAACCGGTATTATTCTGGTAATTGCACATAACGATGGACACAACTAACGCGGTATTATGAAAATGAAATCCTTTGAAGGTAAAGCGAATGCAAAGAATCCGTTTTCACATCAACGGGTTCAGCCCCAAAGCTTGCTGCTCCCGCGAAACCATCGAAGCGGCGATTAAGGCTACCAGCCAGAAAGATCGATGAGACGGAATGGAAAAACAACTTAGCGGAGGGAGGAAAGCCCGTGGGTATATTTAGAAGCTGAACACTTCAAAGGGATAGGGTTCAGTGCCTCTCAGGTATCATTGAGATGAACCAACGTACATTGGCATATTTCAAGAACGGACCACCCCCAAACCTCTTGGGTTTAATGTAACGCAAATATCAAGTGGAAACACAAACACTTGCCAGTTAACCAATTAATTGGCCCGGGACCTCCGACGAAAAAGTGAACGCCGTGAAAGTCAAACGTTTCCGTGAAACAGACGTATCTGAATAATTTAGAGTAAACAATTCAATTAAACGATTCTCACTGACGCGAACTTTTATTTCTGAATATTCAATTCCCGGCTTGTAAAAAATTCTCATTGATATTTTGTGTTTGTTCTCACGCGATATAGGTATTTCTTTTCTTCTTGTAAAAAAAGAACTTTTAATGCTGTTGATGAGAGGTAAGAAAAAAAATAAACGAGTAACAATAAAAAGCATGAAGAAAGTCCGAGTAACTTTCTTAAATGTGAAAAATTCTGATGCGTCATCAACTTGAGTGTTATGCGACTCGGATTCTCGTAAATAATACTTTTAGCCCTAAGAATCATTCACATATACTATGAAAGAGATGGTGAGATAGAAAAGAATCGTCTTTTGTGCACACCAATCAAACATTAAGGCTGTGAATGCAACTGAAAGCTTTCGACAGTCTCTGCATTTCTCGGTATTCTCAAAATCCATAAAAACTAAAATATTTCTAATATAATAATATAAATAAATTACGTCTCATGCGATGAAAATAAAAATTATAATTATCATGCACAGTATAATTGAACTGCCAATAATTTAATAAAAATAAAGAAAAAAATTTATCTATACAAGTTTTTCTTTTAAAGCAAGCAAGACGTACCATGTTATTTTCCCACGATTTGCATTATTAGAAGTCAAAATGAAAATTATTCAAGGGATGATGTTTTTAAATAAATAGAATTCTTACCTTGCTGCGCGGATGAGACCAATAGCTTCCTCGAGGAATTTCGATCGCAGCAACTTTTGAATTCTCCTCATTGCCTCGACCCTGTAAACAACAGAACAAGCAACCATGCATGATGAAAGCTTCCGTTCCTCGAAGATTCAATTCTTAGAGATTGTTAAAATCCAATAAAGCAGCTCCAACATACTTTTGATCGTCTATTGGTACGTCCAACGTTGCATCGAATGGGACGACTACAGGTATAGTTCCTTGTTGCATTACAATCGATAATTGGGGGCTGATTTCATCCCAACGTTCATCCAAACTTCGCGCTGCCGATTGTTCTTTCTGTACAGCGTCTATTTGTGTTCAACATTAAAAAGTACAGTAAATCAAATAAGAGGCCGCAATGTTTTGTTTCTTACTTTTTTTATTTGCGTTCTTGCGCTTCGCCGGCTTGCGTTTCACCTCTTGTACGAGTATATTACGTTTATCTTTTCCGCAGAAGTTGTTCAACATTTTTAAAAAAATGTGCACCGTTGTAACTAGGTCAATTAAATATTGTCTAAAAAAATAAATACAGGGAGGCTGCCTTTATTAATGATTTCGTTAATCCATAATCGGAGATTGTAATTGAAACGAAAATTGCAACTTTCAATATAATATAATACTACCAAAATTATTACGAAAGCTCTATTTACTGTCCTATAGGTTCAAATTTGGAATAGGTAGCTGGAAAAATGAAAAACTGTTGAAATACTGCAACCGACAATAAAATAATCTTCTAAACAAACTAACACGTAATAAAACCCTGTCAGTCATTTTTTTCATTTTTTTAATAAAATAAATTTGTCAGAACTTCCTACGATGCACACGATAACGTATTTAGTAATAAAGATTAAATTCTACCAGATGAAAATCTAGCGATTTCCTTGATTACATTTAATAAAACTCAAACTCGAAACGTCGCGTCGCATCGAGCGAAACAATACCCGTCACGGAATTAATACAGTTCTGTCGCGTGTGTATAGTTTCCAAGTGGTAACATCGGCAAACAAAGTTTGCTGCAGCCGTCAAGTCTTGTTTTCGTCACCGTCGCTAAGATGTCAGAGCGACGACGACGATATCGCGACGGCGGGCGCAACCCGACCTTACATTTCCGTAGTAGAAATCGTTGCAAAACCCGTCAAATTCGCGGAAAGTTGAACGGCCGCCGTCGCCTTTTCCCATTTCGCCGACCGGAAGGTCGATAAAAGTTGTTTATTCCCGAAAGAAGCGCGAAGGAAGAGAAAAGGACCAGACAAGGGAGTTGGCAGTCGGAAAGAACCAACGAGGAAAGTACGCGAGAGAGGAGGCTAGGGCCGGAGTAGCTCCCTCGTTGTTCGAACCGATTGATTTGAAAGTGAATCAATCTGTCTGCAGTATATAAAACTTTTAGCAAACAGTTTTTCATTTTCCGCTCCCATCCACTCAATAAACAGACCTTCGAAGCATGAAATATGTAGTAAAACGAACGAAGCGTTTCACGAGTACATTACACTGCACCGTGTGGAGTTCCGAGGAACAATGTATTTTCAATTGGGCATAATGAGTTTTACAGATTTAAAAATTTGTTTTGTGCTAAGTGGTGTGTGCTTAATTTATACGTCTATAAAATGCTTCGTTGTTTTAAACAAGAGAGATTTGTTTTCTGTTATAATTTTTCTTTCCGTAATGGTCAAACAATTTTTGCTTCTGTAAGTGCAGGTTGTATTCTATACTGAATGTTTTATACGAACCGAGACATTTTAACCGAGTCGAACGAGAGAATCAGAGAAAGAATCGTTTCCCGATATTCCGGAACATAAAACACATTACTCTTAATAACTCTACTGGATTCTTTAACACCGCGGTCTGTACTCAGATCCATTGCCATCAGTGTGTGTAGTAGTTCCTATAATAACAAAACGTGAACAAAGATGTCTCCTTGTCTCTATCAAAGGCGAGCAAATATCAGTATTTAATTCCTCACCTGATACGCTTTCAATGCTATATGCAGTCTACGAGACCAAAGCGGAATTTTTTTTTTGTCAGTAATGATCATCTCATAATAAAAGTCCATTTGCCTTTGTACCATGTGAAATGTTTCCGTAGAAATCGTTTCGCTATTGATAAGTATTTTATTATTTAAACGAAATTGACTCTTTTATTTCGAAATAAAATTTAATCAACGGACAACACTTATTTCTTAGATAAATGATTTCTCATTAAAAATTTAACAATAATTTTCTAATTCGTCTCGAAATTTGGAAAAGTCCTCTATCATTTCGCTTATTTCGTAGATGTTAAAAAGAAAGTAAATACACAGCTTACCTTACGTATTTTACTTCGAACTTATAGTTGCGATTAAATTCCATGAAGAATCGCATAGCCCATAAGTAACAAGTCGTTTCGATTTGTTCCCCCTGCGCCGCAGCAATTATACACGATCTCGCGTGTTTCATTACCGGATTGTAAGCGGCGTTCAAAAATTCGACACAGAATTCTTTTAAGAACAGTCTCACGCTCAGCGCGGAAGTTCGTTCGCCCCTTGGATCTGCCAAGGGACGTTTATTCTTGGGTTTTGCCATTTTATTCTACATCCCAGTGAAATAATATTAGTACGAACGAAATTGCTATTCGTTGTTTTTACGCGGTCAAGACAAAATTTAAAAAAAAGAGTGTACGAAAGCTGACTGACTCAGAAGTCTGCCCGCGAGTTATTTAAGTATAAAAAAAAATTTATAACTGCTTCGCACAGATACTTTAAATTAGACTCCCAGTCATATCAACTTGTGCTTATAATTTTTATGAAATGCAGTTTTTCCGGGTTCAGTACAAAAAGTTGGCGCAGTGGCCTGTAATGGTTCTTAGTGTAACTTTGTTTGAAAGAAAAGTTATATTTCACGCCCCTCCTTGTTTTTATGTAACAAATTCTGTAAAAAATGTCGAAGAAGGAAGCAGGAGGATCACGAGAGGGAACCGCGGAGGAATTCCATAAAGGATATGGCAGGAGTCACTGATCACCTCAATTCAGATAGCCGTCAGGCATGTAACCTACTAGATTTATGATAGTCCATAATGAAACGGGCTACGAAGAAGTGAGCTAGGGAAAAGTTTGTCCTCAAACATGGATGTTCCGCGGAAGAGACGGCAATAACGATGTAAGGGAGAGGAGGATCGTTTTATAGCCGAGCGAGATGGAAGAGATGGGCGGAGAGAGGAAAGCGAAATGTCCGCGAAAAGAGCACTGACCCAGTTTTAAATGCTTCAGCGCCATTAAGCAAGGAGCTGGTTCTAATTACGCGAGGATAGCCCTAATTAACAGCTGTATTTTCATTCAAATCCATCTGATCCCCTTTCCCACTAACTCATTAACGAGAACTACTACCGCTGGAAATCAAAGATTAATTGTAAGGCTGCTTCCCGGTTTGACGTTTCATTTCCTCCCCATTTGAAAAGTAAATGGACATATGAAAACCCGAATAAACATCTTTTCATTTTGCATATTAATTAACAGTCGCGATAATTACCTTCACTTGGCCAAAGTTTAAGGCCTCGATCTTTTGGTACGGTTTATGACACAATAATTGATTGTCTCCAATGGCTTTCATATTCTGGACGACGTAAGTACCACCGAAATGCGAATGTCTAAACAAGTTATTAAATAATTGAAAGTCGCGTTTAAGTATACTGTTCTACTATCGAACTAAATTATTTCGCAATAGCGAAGCGGATGCACTTATTCAATAATGAATTCTATAGGATACTTTATCTCTGAACAATTATATTACGTTTTGTATAAAAACAGTGATTTTTATTTCTGGTTTACGACTCTTGTTACTTTCAACTAAAAATTGTTCACTAATCAATATATATGGCGCGAGGGAAAAGACCGATACTTTTTACCGCCTCTGATTCTTTTCCAAGTTGCAAAAAGCTTTCCGCTGGAAATAGGAACACGTAGCAAAAAGATATAAGTGTAATGTATGTATGGCACAAGAATAAAACACGCGTAGCACACAAGTGGATAAAAGCTTCTATTCACGTGTATTGCGTGGGGTTCACTTTAAAAACTCGGTCACGTTTATTATGCAGATGTAACGCCATTATCACCGAAAGAAAGTACAAATTTTTTTGCACCATTCTTCTCTACTATCGCTATGGTTATCAAAGGAAGCTCGCATTCTAAGTTAAAATAAAAAAACACATTAAACTTACCTTGCACCCGCAAATTTTCTAATCTTTTCCATTTTTACCTCCTTCTCTTTTATTCGCGCAGCTAAAAGTATCGCTTCGTCCTTTTCTTTCTCAGTAATACTGCGTTGTAAACCAGATTTCGCTAATTGACTCGCATTCTGATCGCGCAACATTAACGACACGATCTAATGATGTCACAATAAATTGATTATCGAAAATCAACAGCGTCTCAAGCAAAGAAATATTATAGAAGAATATTTCTCACGTACCTCCAAAATTTGCATATGATACTGCTGTTCGTTTCTATTACTAGCAATGAATAGTAGCAAATCAACTAAGCCTGACGCGTTCAGTGCAAATAAAACCTAATGATAATAAGACGTTTAAAACAAAAGTTTCTCCATTTCCATAATCAGATGTCACATTTAATGTCATACCTGATCATGAACTGTTACATCGTTATCAACGCGTTTTTCATTTTCATCTGGAGGAATTTGCAAAATATTTCTGATAAAGATAAGAATTCTTTCAATAATCAATTCTTTCTCTTCCCCCCTTTCTGCGATTTCCTATTTAAAAAAGCAATGTGTCATACTTTCCATTCTTAAGGGTATGACAACTGTAATACATATTTTAGGAACTTACTATTTTAAGAATTTCACTTAATTTATTACTGAGCACTGCCCAGATACGTTCATCAGTTAGTGCTACTTTATATGCCTGCGTACACGCAATTAATTTCTGATAGATACTATGTTGCATTTTATCAGTAGGTATCTGTTCATTATAAATGAGGAAAACTGGACTGGTTATGTTAATAATCAACCTGGTCAAACCAAAAAGTTGTTGTCTTTGAATCATAGAAATACATCAAATGGCACTCACTTTCAGTAATTTATTACTTGCCTTAACAAGACTTCCCACAGTTCTATCTTATCAGGATGATCAATGAAAATTTTTATGAGATCAGTTTGAAGTACTTTTGTCTGACCAAGAAACTGACGTACAACATGAGAATCATCATCTCTCCTCAAGTATTTAATCAGATCTTTTATAACATCTGTTATTGAATTAATAGTAAGTTTAGTAGCCTTTCTATTAGCTCACGAATTTAATTTAATTTGTTGTGCATCTTTACTCTTACCTAAACAATGCTTGTCTAAATGATACTTAGACCCATCATAATAACCGAGTGCAGCACATGTGGCTGCAAGCTCAGTTGAAAGATAATCTGTCATTGTGGTTCTTCTAAACTAGTTATTGTATAATATTATCTTATTATAGTACTCTAAACTGTATTACTGAACTCATTATTTTACTGAATCATCTGTAATGAACAACACCAAATACCTAAAGTTCTATTGATATCATTTACACATATAACTATGCGTAAATTAGTGATATATTCGTTCGCTGCTTGTTTGATTTTGTCTATACAATTATACTTGATATCTACACACTGAATTTTACTAGTATCCCATTTTTCATGCAGTCTTTTCTGACACAATTTAGGCTTATAAATCACATAAGGAATAATTATCGAACTAATATAACCTTAACAATGTACAAATTCTTATACTTAAATCAATATTTAAATAAAATAATCACACGGAACATTATTATACATGTGGCAGCAGCCGGCATGCACGACTTTAAAGGTTAAGTTCGCTTTATCCAAGGAAGTATAAGAATCCGCGATAGAATACCGATAAAAATATCATCGTACGTACGTCTGCAGCATAACTCTAGATCGATGTCACGATTATTTCTTATCACAGTAGTTAAAACACTTAATTTAGTACTTGAAAACACAGAACAATTACACTGCACACAAACGTCAAACGCAACAGGTGCCGAAAATAGCGCGGGAAAATGTCCGCTAGAGTGCTCTCAATTTCAAATTAATCCATACAGCATGTCGATGTCATTATCGCAATTTTATTCTTAACAATATAAATTACTGTAACCTATTTAATGTTACAATTAATATGTAGAATTATTTTCTTTTGTATTATTAATTAGTACAGATTTTTCTACAGAAAAAACCTGTTTATCTCTGAAAGTTTATTTAAGAGAAGTATGCATTTTCACTTTGCTTCAACATTCAAGACTTCGACAGACGGCGGCTAACTCTCCGCATTTCCCTCGTCAGAAATACGATTCGGTGATGACTTACTATCATATGTTTGTCTTTGACATCAATTTAAGGTAGCAATTTTGATGAAGTGCTCTTTTCCCCATAAAGCGTTTAATTAATTAGTTCGAAATGAACGCGCTTTGAACTTGTAAACGTCTGGGGTACTTAAAACTTCCTGGTTAACTCGTCTGGGAGCGAAAAATTCTCGCCGCTTTCGCCAGTTGATTCGAGATGGTTAAAGGGGAAAAGGGAAACGCGGGTCACGACATCGTGGCCCTTCCGAAAAATTTGTTTCAGCGACTTTAAAAGCAGTATCAAAATCTCAGCTGGAATTCGTCTCGTGGCTCGCTTCTTGTTTCCACATGGGCGACATGAAAGGGACACGAGGGCTCCATTATTTCGCCATAATACCAAGAGCCGCGCACCACGTCGAGCAATCTGCGGTAGATATTGTCCACGGAGGAGGAAAATAAAGCCATAAATTCAATTTCGTCGCCAAGATACACGAAAAAGGAGTCGAGGAGGAACGTTTCGAAGGCTTCGCGATGGGAATACGGTAAAAAGGAAACCGATACGAGACTGTTGAACGAAGGTCGAGCACGAAACGAGGAAGGATAGATTATTCGAAAGATAGATACCGCTGGGAGGAAGTTGGATACCGAGTGTGTTAGACGAGGGAATAAATCAGAGAGGAGCTCGCTTATTTCATTGCGGTGAGACAAACATTCGGTGTCTAATCAATATCACTGAGTTTATCTGGGGCAATAGGTTGCCGTATCGCAATAGCTATCTGTTTAGCTTGTTACGTTTGTTTCAAGTTAAATTCCTTTGTGTTAATCGTATTAGCTGCACAAATTGTCTAATCGTGTTCACGCTTCTATACTTTATGACTGTGTACAAGCTTACCAGCATTTTCGAAAACAATGAAACCACGCATAACGGAATTCAATGGCTACATGCGATATTGCATCTAGATATTTCGGGATGAAATATGCTACACTTCCTACCTTTATCAATATTGCAAAATATTATATTACGTACAAAAAATACTATGCCTTTGTTACGTTTTAATTACAATAAAAATAACAATTTATTGTACACCTTCACCGCGTTTTAATACGCTTTTGTTAAACTTATCAATCGTATTTTTCCACATGCGGTTTTCAATTTTAATTAAAAGTATTATGTAATAATGATGGAACGTAAAATCCGAGAACAATAAACTCGCTTCGTTTGGAATTCGTTTAAAGGTAACTGCGTTCCTAAAATGTAAACTTATTTCATTAACCCAAAGTAATAGCGCATATATGAACGCAAGAGATGTTCCGCAGGCTACTTTGTAGTTTACTATGGAAAACTATAAGTCTAGCTGGTAGTTACCCGCGCGAGTTGGCAGTTAAATGTGGTGTGTATAATCTTCCCGTTAACTAGTTAATTTAGTCAAGTTTCGTAAGTTCCGCCGCGCGTAAACACAACTGTCTTGCGTACGAGTGAAACGGGAATAGGAAATTTAATGAAGCCGAAATAAAGCGATTGTGTCCAGCGCTATGAGCTATAAACGGCGCTAACTCTTTACTATCTCCAACGACGTAGAGACATCCGCGTGTTACATGGAAACTCATTAGGTAGAAACTGTAAAATCGTATTAATATTCGACTCAACTTCGACGAATCCAACTACTTTCTGTTAACTACTACTCGGTAATGGAAAGTTTCACGATAGTAATTAAATCACGTGAAATGCGAAATACATGTAATTTGTTTCATCCACGATAATCTAGAACGTAATTGAAAACTGCAATTTATGTTTTTCAGGAATGCAATTATTATTCGCTGAAACGATTGCAATTGAGACGTCAAAGGGATGTTTGAAGAACTATTTCATGGAGTTTAAGAAAAAAATTTAAATACTGCTAATGATAGAATAACAAAACCTGCCGGGATCCAATAATTAAAGATAAACTGCTTTTCAAAGACAAACTTATTCAATCAGCGCGACCTCTCTTAATTAGCTGGTTATTTCAATTTGATTTGCTTAATAAAGCATACAACTATTTTCAAAGCATTGATGAAAAATGCTTGTACGCATAATTTTATGAGGCGATAATATTTTAATTGTTCCATTTGTACCTCCCAAATTATAATATACAATATGGGGAATATCAAGATTCTACATTGATCCTCTACGAGAGCTATGCTGAATGAAGTGACTAATTTTCAATGGTCTCTAACCATCTGAATGACCGCACTCTCCTAGCAGTTGCGAGATTAAAGCCATATTCAAATTTCATCAGCTATGCGGCTACGTTTTTAACCACGGAATCTCCTAACTGCATTTATTCGAAATTCACCGGAAGCAGCATTCACGCATTTTTGTGCTTGGTAAAACTACCGAATGGGAGAGTGTGTACAGGACTCTCATATACTTCAGTGTTAAAGTACAATTTCTTAGGTTTTATTATTTCAAAAACATGTTCGGTAAAGTATTTCATCGTTCGGATACATTTTTACTGTGAAATCAATGAAAAACGCTGTCGACACGTTAAAAATAGTTTTGTTCACTTGAATACGGTGGATTTCTGCTGGCTGATAGAGTTTAGTCTCTATGCCCTCTTCAAAAATACAGATTTTGATCACGCTGGAAAAACCACCGGGACAACTGCGCACTGCAGTTTCTATATGAAACAGCACGTTATCGAGAGTGCATATACACTGGTCGTATCGCCTGTGAATAGTACATGCATGCGGTGAAAACTCTCTGGTTCAAGAGTTGCTCCGGATACAATACTTCCATATACACGCGTGATCTCAATTGTCATAAAAAAATATTTTTTGTAACGAAATGCAAAACGCAGATACAATCCACCGTACTATTTATATTTTCGATATTTTCAATGATACATTTCGATCACTCGTTTACATAGATCTTGATTCCTCTTTCAAAAGAGAAGACAAACTAGGATCTAGGTTAATCAGAATTCGTCATTACACCGGGTGGAATTATAACAATTACGTTAAGATACGCTTCGAAGGTATAACGCATACGCAGGTGTGGATTCAAGATGCTACGTAATAAGATTTCGCTCTTCCGTTGCTTGCATAGTCGATTGCTATTATACCGATGCGAGTATGTACTTTGAGAGAACATCACCTACTCTAATTGTAAGATTTGCTTTACACGCTATTTGTGAAACTTAGTTTCGGGAACGTTTGTCGACCACGTCGGGTGTTGATATATGTGCGCTAAACCATGTAACGGCACCGAGTCAAAGTGCTCTTGTTTAATATTGGACCGTATATGTACCTACTTACGGTGCAGTGGAAACCCTGTTAATCCAATTAACGAAAGCGTATAATTGTAAACATATACTTGTTGAAATTGTTTGAACTTATGATACTATATTCGAGATAACAGGAGGTTTAATGTATTAACGTTCACTCTCTTTACGTGCTTTTCTATTTCTCATTGCAACAGTAATTTGCAATCGCGTGTAATTGTGCTATCTGCAAATAAAGATATCTGAAGCTTCCGTCACTTGATCTCTTTGGTACGAAGTGTCTATTCCATGAATAAACATCATTTTACAAGGCAAACTCGTCTCGCATCAAAACGCTCGGAGCTTTTCCTAAAATAAACTCCCGGGGACGTATACACACGCAACGTCTGCTCCGTAAACATCATCGATCGGCATCGTACGTTAAGATTACCCTAAAGGAGTTATCTGCGAGTCACCATCCGAACGGAAGTTAAGGATATTTTTTATAATCCCGGCAAATGAGCCGTTCAATTTACGCGGCACGCTGGCTCGATTATAAAATACGTTTCTTTGAAGTCGCTAACTCCTCGCTTGGTGAATCTAATGCACGGGAATGCACCGTATTCTCGACTGAAGTTACGCCCCAGTTCTAGCGAGACGATAATTCACCACCGTAGCTTATTGAGCTTTAACGGAACCGGGAGTTATAATTTAGCATCGACTCACTGGAATCCAATATTTTCCTTGTTTACTCGTTAATGTGAAGCTACATTTTATAGACATTCCTCCTCTAGTAGAGAACGTTGTAAGAAAAATGTGCGCTCATTTTCCCGAAAATTCTTCGATAATCGATTAACTGATACTCCTGCTGATGCTGCAACAGAAATGCTTGCGATCGATCTCTCACAACATGTTTCGAGGATATACATGTAATACGGTAATAATTCTCAAATCAAGCGGTACTTCATCATGTTTTTTCGTAATAGGTGTATTCGTGAAATATTGAATCATTTTTCAAGCTGGAAGATTAGCGCCGTAAAAGCACGTACGCATCAGTTACAAGCAGGAGGTCTCCGTTTCCCGTGGAGTGGATGCAGTGCTCTGTTGGGTCGATGTCTAATATTCGAAATGAAGCGAGAGAGTGCAGGCAACGATGGCACGTATTACAATAATGGTAGGTGCTGAACCTGACATAGCGAAACTGTAATACAATGGCGTTGAAACCGGTGCTGGAGTGTCCAGTCATGGGAGAATGACAGAACACAAATGCGATGGACCGTAGAACAGTAGTTAGTTTCCTAACAACGACGCGTACGCTCGGTCGCAGATGGTGCATCCGAACTTAAACGTACTTGCACGGAATACCGCAGCGCGTAAGAGAAATTGAATAGCTGCAATTGAATTGGTTGTTAAATCAAATAACC